CAGTTTTCTATAGTCACTCATAGTACAATTGCAGACAAGTTGGCACATAAAGGATTTTTTTTCATGTCTGATGCATGGTTTGTCATGACTGGTATAGATGAGAGCAGGTTGCTCTGTCGTTATATGGTTGTTTCATAAGGCTAGTTTTAGCTTCCTCATTTTATAGTGGCCTCAGGCTAATCAGACTTCTAACAAAGTAGTGGACTTCCTCTGGATCAAGTGTTCCCAGAGACTGAGTCCAAGACCAAAGCTGTAAGACTTCTCATGACTGAGCTTGGGAAATGAAAGTCATGCATCTGCCTTGAATTAAGGAAATGGAGAAAAGGATTTCAGTTCTTAGTTGAAAAATGGCTTAAGCTGAAAGGTGGGGAGTTGATAGGATTGATAGCAGGCATTTTAGAAACAAGCTTACCACCTTTATTTTTTCCTGTCCTATATCCCTTTATCCAAATATTTGTACTTAAACTTAAGTATTCATTCTAATTATGTAGGTTATAAGTTATTTTTAATCTTTAGACAAAAACCTCCCATTTTGATATTTAACTTGGCCTGATGTTATAAAAAAGCCCCTACTTTTTTTTTGAACTGGGGATATCAAACCTGGACTTTCTACATGTTGAGCAAGCCCTCTACCACCGAGCTACACACCCAGCCTGATTTTTTTGTTTTTTATTTTCTCTGTAATTAATCTTTTTTTCCATATCTCTCTCCTTTTCTTCATACTAGGGATTGAACCCAGGGATGCTTTACCAATGAGTTACATCCCCAACCAGTTTTATTTTGAAACAGGGTCTAAGTTGTTCAGACTGGACTGAAATTTGTAATCCTTCTGCTTCAGTCTCCTGAGTAGCTGGGATTACAGGACTGCAACACCATGCCTGGCTACCTGCCCTATTTCTTTTTCATTTTTTCACACTTTTAAGCAAGAATGTGTTGTTTTTATGTTTTTGTATCAGAATAGTACATAGCAGTTGTGTTCATTTCAACAGAGTCATACATGCATGGAATTTGATTTTCTCCATTTCAGTCCCCATTCCTCCTCTTCTCTCCCTCCCCTCCCCCATTCTCCTTCCTCTACTGATCTTCCTTTATTGTGTTTATTTATTTGTTTTTGAACAGTGCTTTTTACATGTACATAAAGCTAGGATTTCCTGTGGTATGTTTATATATGCACATAGTATGATTTTATCAAATTTATTTAGCTTTTCCTCACCTTTTCCATCCCTCTTTCCTCCTCCTAGATCATCTTCTCCACTGATTTTCCCAATATCTTCATGATATCCAATCCCCCACCATTTTGCCCTTATTTTGCTCAAGCTTCTGCATATGAGAGAAAACATTCAACTCTTGATTTTCTGAGTCTGGCTTATTTCACTTAGCATGATGTTCTCCATTTCCATCTATTTACCAGAAATGCCATAATTTCATTCTTCTTTAAGGCTGAGTAAAACTTCATTGTATATATATACTTCATCTTCTTAACCCATTCATCTATTGATGGGCATCTGGGCTGGTTCCA